GGAGAGAGTTGTCCCTCCGGAAAGCAGATAAGGGTGGGGAGGGAAAGATGTCTTTGGTGGTGGGGTCGGATTGCAGATGGCGGAAGTGTCGGAGGATGATGCGTTGGATCCGGAGGTTGGTGGGGTGGTACGTGAGGACGAGGGGGATTCTTTATTGGTTTTTATTGCGTGGACGGGGTGTGAGGGATGAGGTGCGGGAGATGTGGTGTGGATTTCACAAGTTTCAAAATCTCCCCTCCCCCCACCACATCCCAAAACCAGTCCAGCTCGTCCCTGCCTCCCTAACCTGTTCTTCCTCCCACCTATCCCCTCCTCCCACCTCAAGCCACACTTCCATCTCCTACCGACCAACCTCATCCCGCCCCCTTGACCTGTCCGTCCTCCCTGGACTGACCTATCCCCTTCCTAACTCCCCACCTACACTCACCTTTACTGGCTCCATCCCCGCCTCTTCGACCTGTTTGTTTCCTCTCCACCTATCCTCTCCTCTATCCGCCTCCCACTCTCTCCCTATTTATTTCAAAACCCCCTTCCCCTCCCCCTTTTCTGATGAAGGGTCTAGGCCTGAAACGTCAGCCTCTCTGCTCCTATGATGCTGCTTGGTCTGCTGTGTTCATCCAGCCCTGCACCTTGTTGTCTCGGATTCTCCAGCATCTGCAGTTCCTACTATCTATGATTTCCTGTCTTCTGCCTCCCTCCCTTCTTAAACAGGGGAGTTACGTTAGCCATATTCCAGCCATCTGGGACTCTCCCTGACTCCAATGATTCCTGAAAGATCACCTCCAATGCTTCCACAATCTCCTCTGCAATCTCCTTCAGAACTCTAGTGTATGGTCCATCTGGTCCTGGTAACTTATCCACCTTCAGACCTTTCAGCTTCCCCAGCACCTTCTCCTTCGTGATGGTCAGTATACTTACCTTTGCCCCCGACTCTCTTGAAGTTCTAGTATGCTGCTCATGTCTTCCACTGTATAGATGGATGCAGAGCACTGTTTCAGTTCCACCACCATACTCCATTACTACTTCTCCAGCCTCACTTTCCAGTGGTCCAATGCCCATTTTTACCACTCTCTTACCTTTTAGATATCTAAAAAAAACTTGTGCAATCTTCTTTTACATTACTAGCTAGCTTACTCTCATATTTCATCTTCTCCAAACTTTTTTTTTTGTTATCCTCTGCTGGTTTTTAAAGGCTTCCCAATTCTTTAGTTTCCTACTAATCTTCACCTGAAGAGAGGCCAAAGGACATTTACTACTAATGACACCAGAAAAGAAGGATTTTAGATTCAAGGAAAGATTGGAGATTGGGCATATTCTTCTTGGAGCAGAGAAGGTTTTAAGATGAGAGGGGAAAGATTTAAAAAAGCACTGAGGGGCAACTTTGTCACACAGAGGGTAGTGTGTATATGAAATGAGCTGCCAGAGGAAGTGGTAGAGGCAAGTACAATTACAAAAGACATTTAGACAGGAGGATGGATAAGAAAGGTTTAGAGGGATATGGGCTAAACGCAGGTAAATGGGACAAATTCAATTTAGGAAACCTGGCTGGCATGGTGAGTTGGGTTGAATGGCCTGTTTCTGTGTTGTATACCTCAATGACTCTATGACTCTCAGATTAAGAGGTGACCTTAATGAAGTGTTCAAAATTATGAACAATTTTGACAGAGTAAAGAAGGATATTCTGTTTCCACTGGTTGGTATGTCAGTAACTAGGGATCACAATTTCAAGATTGAGAGCAAGGGAGCTAGGAATGAGATGTAGAGAAGCTTCTTCACTCAGAGAGTTGTTAGGGTTTGGAATGTGCTGTCTGGGAGAGTGGCAGAGGCAGATTCCACAGGAGGTTTCAAAAGAGAGATGGGTATAAATTTGAAAGTTATTAATTTAAAAGCCCATAGAGAAAGGGCTGGACATTGAGACTAACTGGGTAACTCTTTTGGGAGCTGGTACAGACAATGGGCTTATGGCCTCCTTCTGTACTGTAAAGTTTTATGATTCTATATTGTGAATAGCTGGGTTAAAGCACTGATCCCTGCGGTACCCTACTAGTCACTGCCTGCCATTCAGAAAAAGACCCGATAGCCTTCTGAAAGTCCAAATAAACCACATCCACTGATTCCCCCTCATCAACTCTACTAGTTATATCCCTGAAAAATTGCAGATTTGTCAAACATGATTTCCCTTTTGTAAATCTATGCTGACTCTGTCCAATCCTGCCATTGTTTTCCAAGTGCACGGCAATTAAATCTTTTATAATGGAGTCAAGCATTTTCCCCACTATCGATGTACTGGCTCACTTGTCTGTAAATTCCTGTTTTCTCTCTGCCTCCCTTTTTAAATATTGGAGACCTTGGAAGATGACAACCAATGCACCCACTGTTTCTAGAGGAACTTGCTTAAGTACTCTGAGATGTAGGTTATCAGGAACTGGGGATTTATTGGCCTTCAATCCCATCAATTTCCCCAACACCATTTCCCTCCTAATACTGATTTCCTTCAGTTCCTCCCTCTCACTAAACCCTGTGCTCCCCAGCGTTTCTAGTATGTTGTTTGTGCCCTCTTTTGTGAATGCAAAACAAGAGGACGTATTTAGTTGGCCAGCCGTTTCTTTGTTTCCAATTATAAATTATTCTGTTTCTGACTGTAAGGGACCAACTCTCTCTAACTTCATTTGTAAGCCACAGTATAGCTAGCTTTCCCATTTTGCTTTTGCATAAAACTTTTACAGTTCTCCCATGTGCTCTTTAAAAATTGCCATTGCCTTTCCACTGTTATCCCTTTAAGTAACATTCTGCAATTTATTATGGCCAACCCAGGGGTCATACAATCGTAGGTAACTCAGTCTTTATCCTTTTGGACATGTGTAGAAACATTTGCTATGCACTCATATATTCTTAAATCACACCCTCTCACTCTTATCCTTACATTTGAGGCTTTTCTTAACTTCATTAACTCAGATCAACAATGATTTCATGCATTGCAGAGCAGACTCGATGGGCTGAATGACCTTCGGCACTGACTCTCCGACAGTGCGGCACTCCCTCAGCGCTGACCCTCTGACAGTGTGGCGCTCCCTCAGCACTGACCCTCAGACAGTGCGGCGCTCCCTCAGTACTGACCCTCCGACAGTGTGGCGCTCCCTCAGTACTGACCCTCCGACAGTGCGGCGCTCCCTCAGCACTGACTCTCCGACAGTGCGGCGCTCCCTCAGCACTGACCCTCCGACAGTGCCCCCTCCCTCAGCACTGACCCTCTGACAGTGCGGCGCTCCCTCAGCACTGACCCTCCGACAGCGTGGCACTCCCTCAGCACTGACCCTCCGACAGCGCGGCACTCCCTCAGTACTGACCCTCCAACAGTGCGGTGCTCCCTCAGCACTGACCCTCCAACAGTATCTGATTTGAGAGCCGAGTGCTTCATGCAGAGAGCTGGCTGGATCATGTTGCTGTATGTAATTAGACTCTTTCTCTTGAACTCATACCTGTGTCACTTGCAGCTGGTGTTGAAGGTACATTGTGTCCATCTGCTGGGTATGTTGCACGTTGTTGATCCTGTCCCTATCAAAGTACAGCACCTCCTTGAGGAAGAGTTCCTGCAGTCCTGATTCACTGATGGTAAAGGACAACGTTCTCACCTGCTTCAGGAAATTTCGATCAAACTCTGGTGACATCAGGAGAAAGGAAATTAATCTGTCAGTTTCAGTGCTTCATCCTGCTGCATTCCTACAGGGGGATTACTCTCTTCAGGCTCGAGATGGTTCAGCGGATTTGCCTGCAATGGGCAGCACGTAGGGTTCATTGAGGAAGTAAAAGGAAAAACTGTTTCCTCTGGAATGCAAGTTGGGAACAGAACACACAGGAGAGTGGGTTCTTAAGATGTGGTGCTGAAATGATGCTGGTCACAGGAGCTCCAGGAATGTACAAAGAGCAGCCTGGACACACAAAGGGTGATAGAGGTTTGGAATTCTCTTCCACAAACAGCAGTAGGTGCTGGGTCAGTTGTTAATTTAAATCTGAGCGAGATTTTTTTTTGTTAAGCAAAGGTATTAAGGGATATGGAGTTAGGCCGCAGATCAGCCATGATCTCATTGAATGGCAGAACACGCTTGAGGGGCTGAATGGACTACTCCTGTTTGTATATTCCTATAATGGACGTGGAGGTAATGATTTGCAGAGGATAGGATGAGAAGTTTGGGTTGGGATTGGACTGGACAGGTTTTATAAAGAACTGGCAGCAGGATGAGAGGTTGAATGGTCTCCTTCATTGATGTTTGCCACCCTGGGACCATTCTACAATCTCTCCAATACACGGATGAATAAAGATATTGAGCTTTTGGTGAATCAGAGGGCGGCTGAGAGTCATCATCAGTGGAATTCTGGGAGACATCGCCACAGTCATTATGATTGTACAGCAGGTCAGGCAGAACCTGGTGTCAAGGTATGGATTAAACCTGAAACACTACAGTGGTGTTTCCCACTCTCCCTCCTCCTCTGACCCAAAAAAAGGGCCTCTGTGATGAAGGTGACTGGCAAGGTAAGGGTGTATAAGGGAGCAGCCATTAAAAAGGGTGGACCAGTGTTAGAGTGGAAGTGCTGAGGCCTTTGCTTGAGAGGTTTTGGCATGAGGAGGCTGAACAGGGAAACAGGTAAGAGCAGGTAAGGGCTCTTTAACTCTACTTTCTTTCTGTCTAGACTGAAGGCAGTAGGGACGGCAGTTAGGGCAGTGGCATGCTCCTCTTGCAGGATGTGGGAGATCAGGGAGACTTCCAGTGTCCCTGGTGGCTACACCTGTGAGACGTACACCCGGCTGCATCTCCTGACAGATCGCATCAGGGAATGGGAGCTGGATGGACTCAGGATCATCCGGGATACAGAGAACATTACTGATAAGAACTATAGCGAAGTGGTCACTCCTAAGGTGCATCCTGCAGGTAGCAGGGTGACCACTAGAAGAGGTAAAGGGGGATGGCAGATAGTGCAGGGTTCCCCTGTGGCCATTCCCCTCAATAACAGATATACCATTCTGGATACTGATGAGATTGGGCGGGGTTGGGGGTGGGGGGTGTGACCTTTCATGGGCTAGCAGCAGCAGCCAGGTCGGTGGCTCTGAGGCTCAGAGGGAAAGGGTACAGTCAGACAGAGCGATAGTGATAGGAGACTCAGTTGTGAGGGGGACAGACAGGAGATTCTATGGCCGCAGAAGAGACACCAGGATGGTGTGTTGTCTCCCGGGTGCCAGGGTCAAGGATGTCTCTGAGCGGTTGCAGAACATTCTGAAGGGGGATGGTGACCATCCAGAGGTCATTGTGCACATCGGTACAAATGACATAGATAGACAAAGGAATGGGGTCCTGTGAAATGAATCTAGGGAGTTAGGTACAAAGTTAAAAAGCAGGACCTCAAGGGTACTGATCTCTGGATTACTCCCAGTGCCACACATCAGTGAGGATAGAAATAGAAAGATAGGCCAGATGAATGCATGGCTGAGGAGCTGGCATAGGGGGCAAAGTTTTCATAGGGGGCAAAGTTTTCAGTTCTTGGGTCATTAGGATCTCTTTTGGAATAGAGGTGACCTGTACAAGAGGGATGGGGTGCACTTGAACCTGAGGGGTTCCGATATCCTCGCGGGGAGATTTGCTAGTGTTACCCAGGAGGGTTTAAATTAGTTTGGCAGGGGGTTGGGACTCTGAATAAGAGAGGGGTCATCGAGAAGTCAGGGGAAAATACATTAGCCATCAAGAGCAAATTTGCTATTCAGGATAGCCAGGGGCACAGTAAAGGGAGGGAAAAGACTTCTGGTTTAAAGTGCACTTATGTCAACGCATGACACCTGACTGGTAAGGCAGATGAGCTCAGAGCATGGATTGGCTCTGGGGACTGGGATATTATAGCTGTAACAGAAACAGGGCTGAGGGAAGGGCAGGACTGGCAGCTCGGTATTGCTGGGTACAGAAGCTACAGGCGTGACAGAAGTACAAGTGAGCGAGAAGGGGGAGTTGCCCTTTTGATAAGGGAGCACATAACAACAGTGCTTAGAGAGGATATTCTTAAGGGGTCATCAAATGACGCCATATGCTTAGAACTTAGAAACAAGAAGGGGATGGTCACTGTGTTGGGACTGTATTATAGACCCCCAAATAGCCAGCAGGTACTAGAGGAGCAGATGTGAAGGGAGATTGCAGATACCTGTAGGAATAATAGAGTAGTATTGGTTGGAGATTTTAATTTCCCCTGTAATGACTGGGGCACCCAGAGTGTAAAAGGCCCGAACGGGGTGTAATTGTCCAAGTAAGTTTCCTGAATCAATATATCGAGGGCCCTACTAGGGAAAGTGCAATATTCAACTTCCTCTTAGGAAACAAGGTCGGGCAAATGACTGAAGTGTCAGTCAGAGAACATTTTGGATCCAGTGACCATAGCTCTCTTAGCTTTAACATAGTTATGGGAAAAGATGGGACAAGTCCACAGGTTAAGGTGCTGAACTGGAGCAGGGCCAATTCTGGGGATTTGAAAGGAATCCAGAGATTTACATATACATATTAATCAATTAAAATCTTCGAACTAATTAAAGATTTAACATCATCTTAGGTTTGTTTAATACATCCTCATCAGTGGTGTGATCCTTTGATCTATTACTTGTAAATTCTGTGTCTGATACTACCTCTCTCTCTAACATCTGAAGAAGGAGTGAGGGTCCAAAAGCTTGTGTTTTCAAATAAACCTGTTGGACTATAACCTGGTGTCATGTGATTTCTGACCTTGGCTAGGGAGAGAACAGGTCCCCTTAAAGATTAACATGGCTATCTATGTGTGGAGCCACAGGAGATGGGGGAGATTTTTAATGAATTTTCATTCTCGGTGTTTATGAGGACAGAAACATGGATGCTAAGGAAATAAGGGAAACAAATGGGAATGTTTTGGACTGCATACATATTACCAGAGAGGAGGTGTTTTCAGCCTTAAAGTGCATTTGGTTGGATAAATCCCCTGGGCCTGATCAAGTCCATCCTCGGATGTTGTAGGAGGCTAGGGAAGAAATTGCAGAGGCCCTTGCAGTGACTTTTGCTTCAGCTTTAGCCTGTGGTGAAGTTCCGGAAGACTGGAGGATGGCTAATGTAATTGCATTGTTTAAGAAAGGTAGCAAAGACATCCCAGGGAACTACAGGCCAGTGAGCCTGACATCAATGGTAGGCAAGTTATTGGAGAGGATACTGAGGGAACAGGATCAACTTACTTGCTAACTGAGCTGGCTTGATTACATTCAGATGTTTCGTCACCATGCTAGGTAACATCATCAGTGAGGCCTCTGATAAAGCGATGTTGTTCTGCTCCACTTGGAATTTACACTGTCCGGTCCATTATGGTGAGTTGTGTCATTTCCGGTTCTGTTCTGTATGGGCTTTTATATGGGATCCAATTCTATACGTTTGTTGATTGCATTATGGGTTGATAACCATGCTTCTAGGAATTCCTGTGCCTGTCTATGTTTGGCTTGGGCTACTATGGTTACGTTGTCCCAGTTAAACTGATGGCCCTCATTGTCTGAGCGTACCGATATTAAGGAGGGTTCGTTGTGTCATTTTGCTGCTGGCTGATGTTTGAACATTCTGATGCTAGTTTCCTTCCAATCTGTGCGATGTAATGTTTGTGGACATTTGAAACATTAATGTTGCATGGTAATTTGTAATCCATGTTGGTTCTACATGTCATGGCTATGGGGTCTTTAATCCTTGTGAGTGTCATAGCGTGGCCGTGGGCTTGTGTGCCACCATGATTCCTAGTGGTCGTAGGAGTCTTGTCAGTTCTGTTATGTTCTTGGTGTAGGGCAGTGTGGCCAGTGTGTTAGGGTGTACTGTGTCCTCTTGGTGTTGTTTATTTAGTAGGCACCTGCAGATGAAGTTGTGGGGATATCCGTTCATAGCGAAGATTTTGTATAGGTGCTCTTCGTCTTTCCTGCATAGTTCTGGCGTGTTGCAGTGATTGGTGGCCCATTTAAATAGTGTCTTAACGCAGCTTTGTTTGTGGATGTTGGGGTGGTTGCTGTGGAAATTGAGGATTTGGTCAGTGCGGGTTGCTTTCCTGTATACTGAGGTTTGGAACTCCCCGTTGGTCATACGTTCAACTCTGATGTCCAGAAATGGAAGCTGATTGTTGTTTTCTTCATCTCTCGTGAATTTAATCCCAGCGAATACGTTGTTGATGAGGTGGTATGTTTCTTCCAACTTGGTGCGTTTAATGATGATAAATGTGTCGTTCATGTACTGGATCCACAATTTAGGTTGAATGAGGGGGAGGGTGGTGTGTTCTAGTCTTTGCATGACTGCCTCTGCGATGAGTCCTGAGATGGGTGACCCCATGGGTGTGCCACTGACCTGTTTGTAAGACAAAGTGTGTGATGAGGAACAAGTCTAGATGTTTGAGTATGTTGTCATTGCTGATGGAGCTGCTGGTCTGTGTTGCTGCTTCCTCTAGTAATGTGGGCAGTGTTCCTTTGGCTAGTGGGATGTCAATTGATGTAAATAATGCTGTGACGTCAAAGGATACCATAATCTCGTCGTCACTGACTTTTATGTTCTTGAGGGTATCGAGGAAACCTGGGGTCGAGTGGATGTAATGGGGTCAACGAGGTGTTTCAATCTCTGTTGTAGGTCCTTGGCCAGTTTGTGTGATGGTGTGCCTGGTAGGGAAACAATGGGTCTGAGAGGGATGTCTGGTTCATGTACTTTAGGGAGTCCATTGAAGCAGGGCGTATTCTTGCCTTCTGGTTTCATTCTCATGCAGTCCATCTTGGTTATCTGCCCTGCATCCTTTAGTCTCTTCAACGTTTGGGTGATCCTGTTTGCTAGCTGCGTGTTGGGTCTATCTTTACCTGATGGTAAGTGTGTGTATCTGCAAGCAGTGCCTGTGCTTTCTTATTGTAGTCCAGTTTGTTCATAATGACGATCATGTGCCCCATTCCCATACAGAACAGAACCAGAAATGACACAACTTGCCATAACAGATCGGACAGTATAAATTCCAAGCGGTGTAGAAAGACATCGCTTCATTGGAGGCTGCACTGATGATGTTACCTCGCATGGTGATGAAACGTCTGAACAAGAGTAAGCCAGCTCAGCGAGCAAGTCAAGAACCTCACCCAAAATCTGAGCTACAGATCTTTGCAAAAACCTTAAAGGATCAACTAACATTTGGATAGTCAGGGTCTGAGCAGGAATAGTCAGCATGGATTTGTGCGTGAGAAGTCATCTCTGACAAATCTTTTAGAGTTTGTCAAAGAGGTAACCAAGAGGATAGATGACGGTATGGCAGTGGATGTTGTCTATATGGACTTTAGTAAGGCCTTTGACAAGTTCCCATATGGCAGGCTAGTTATGAAAGTTAGGCTGCGTGGGATCCAGGGGGAGCTAGCTAACTGGATTCAAAACTAGCTCAGCGGGAAGAAGCAGAACGTGATGGTTGAAGGTTGTTTCTCAGACTGGAGGCCTGTGACTAGTGGTGTGCCTCGGAGATCAGTACTGGGACCTTTGTTATTTGTTATTTACATAGATGATCTGGATGTGAATGTACAAGGCATGATTAGTAAGTTTGCGGATGATACAAAATTAGGAGGTATCGTTGATAATGAGGAAGGTTATGAAAAATTACAGAGTGATGTTGATCAGATGGGGAAGTGGGCTGAGGATTGGCAAATGCAATTCAATACAGGTTAGTCAGAAATCACACGACAACAAGTTGTAGTCCAACAGGTTTATTTGAAAACACAAGCTTTCAGAGCCTTGCTAATTTTTCAGGTGTTAGTTGCCTGAAGAAGGAGCAAGGATCTGAAAGTTTGTGTTTTTAAATAAACCTGTTGGACTATAACTTGGTGTCGTGTGATTTCTGACTTTGTCCACCCCAGTCCAACACCTGCACTTCCACATCATTATAGATAAGTGTGAGGTGTTGCACTTTGGAAAGTCAAACCAAGGTAGGTCTTACACAGTAAATGGTAAGGTCCTGAGGAGTGTTATGGAACAGAGGGACCTAGGAGTACAAGTACATAGTTTATTGAAAATGGCATCACAAGTGGGCAGGGTGATGAAGAAGGCATTTAGCATGCTGGCCTTCATCGGTTGAGGCATGGAGTATAGGAGTTGGGACATTATGTTACAGTTGTATAAGTCGTTAGTGAGGCCGCACTTGGAGTATTGTGTACAGCTTTGGTCACCTGTTATAGCAAAGGCATAGTTAAACTGGGACCTATGCAAAGAAGCTTTACGAGGATGGTGCCAGGACTAGTAGGCCTGAGTTATAGGGAGAGTTTGTCCAGGATAGGACTTTATTCCTTGAAAGGTAGGAGAATGAGGGGGGTGACCTTATTGAGATGTATAAAATCGTGAGGGGCATAGATAGGATGCAAGCATATAATCTTTTTCCCAGGGGTGGGGAGTTGAAAACTAGAGGAATAGGTTTAAGGTGAGAGGGGAAAGATTTAAGAAGGACCTGAGGGGCAGCTTCTTCACGCATAGAGTGCTGCATATATGGGATGGACTGCCAGAGAAAGTGGTTGAGGCAGGTACAATAGCAACATTTAAGAAGCATTTGGATAGGTACATGGATGGGAAGGGTTTAGAGGGATATGGACTAAATGTGGGCAATTGGAACTAGCTGAGTGGGCACCGTGGTCAGCATGGACCAGTTTGGGCTGAAAGGCCTGTTTCCATGCTGTATTACTCTATGGCTCTAAGAATAAGAAGGAGGCAAATGTCAGATAAAGACAGCTGGGATCAAGGAAATCCCTTGAGGAGTATGAGAACAGTAGGAGTATACACAAGAGAGAAATCAGAAGGGCAAAAAGGGGACATGAGATAGCTTTGGCAGATAGGTTAAACATAATACAAAGAGATTCTACATGTACATTAAGAGCAAAAAAACAACTAAGGAGACAGTGGGACCCCTTAAAGATCAAAGAGGTTGTTTGTGTGTGGAGCCACAGGAGATGGGAGAAATACTAAACAAATATTTTGCGTCAGTTTTTACTGAGGAGAAAGACATGGAGGCATTTGATAAGGTTACCCATGGTAGGCTCATTCAGAAAGTAGGGAGGCATAGGATTCAGGGAAATTTGGCTGTCTGGATACAAAACTGGCTGTCAAATAGAAGACAGAGCGTGGTAGTAGATGGAAAGTATTCAGCCTGGAGCTCGGTGACCAGTGGTGTTCTGTTCTAGGACCTCTGCTCTTTGTGATCTTTATAAATGACTTGGATGAGGATGTGGAAGGGTGGGTTAGTAAGTTTGCCGATGACACGAAGGTTGGTGGAGTTGTGGACAGTGTGAAGGGCTGTTGTAGGTTGCAACAGGACATTGACAGGATGTAGAGCTGGGCAAAGAAGTGGCAGATGGAATTCAACCCAGAAAAGTGTGAAGTGATTCATTTTGGAAGGTTGAATTTGAATGCAGAATACAGGGTTAATGGCAGGATTCTTGGCAGTGTGGAGGAACAGAGGGATCTTGGGGTCCAAAGTTGCGACCCAAGTTGATAGGGTTGTAAAGAAGGCATATGGTGTGTTGGCTTTCATTGGCAGGGGAATTGAGCTTAAGAGCTGTGAGGTTATGCTGCAGCTCTATAAAACCCTGGTTAGACCACACTTGGAATATTGTGTTCCGTTCTGGTCACCTCATTATAGGAAAGATATGGAAGCTTTAGAGAGAGTGCAGAGGAGATTTACCAGGATGCTGCCTGGACTGGAGGGCAGGTCTTATGAGGAAAGGTTGAGGGAGCTAGGGCTTTTTCCATTGGAGCAAAGAAGGCTGAGAGGTGACTTGATAGAGGTGTACAAGATGATGAGAGGCATAGATAGAGTGGATAGCCAGAGTCTTTTTCCCAGGGTGGAAGTGGCTATTACGAGGGGGCATAATTTTAAGGTGATTGGAGGACGGTATAGGGGAGATGTCAGAGGTAGGTTCTTCACACAGAGAGTGGTGGGCGTGTGGAATGTGCTGCCGGCAGTGGTAGTGGACTCAGATACTTTAGAGACTTTTAAGCGACTCTTCGATAGGCACATGGAGGATAGTAAAATGCAGGGTAGTTTGATCTTAGTAGGATAATAGGTCGGCACAACATCGTGGGCTGAAGAGCTTGTACTGTGCTGTACTGTTCTATTTTCTATGTGCTAGGGAACTCAGGGAAATAAATACTGATGTCTTGAAAACAGTCCACACTCAGGAGGGGGAGGTACTTAAAAAAACATAAAGGTGGATAATTCTCTGAGGCCTGATCAGAGTGGTTTAACTTCCCAGGAGAGGAGGTACATTGGGTCGGGATCTATCCCCATACTGAGTGGAGGAGCGAGATCTATGCCATGAGGGGCTGTGATGGGGTGGATTTACCTTCCCCCCCACAAGGGTCTGGGTTCTACTCCCCCACAGGGTGAGAGTGCATAAGGATGGGGTTTACCTAAACTGATGATCCTGATGGGTAATATTGTGCTCAGGTACAGGTGAAATGTTGGCTTGACCTCAATCTGCTGCTTCCCAAAAGTCAGCTCCCAAGGTCCTTCGTGACTCCACCAGGTTTGAACGTTCAGCAGCTTCTTTAGAAGGGGTGTCAAAGGCCTTTGCTCAATATTAGTCACCAAGAGTGCAATCCCTGAAAGATATTTCAAAACACTGTCACTGTGAATGTGTTAACATAGTTTCACTGACACATAAACAAGAAAACTCAACTCAGTCAAGACCTCACTTTCTCCACCCAAACTTTGCTCATTTTTCTTCATTTGTCCATGGAATGTGAGCATCACTGGCTGGGCAGCCCGTCCCTAGTTGCCCCTTCAGAATGTGAGGTGAGCTGACTCCTTAAACCTCTGCAGTCCATGTGTTATAGACACACCCACAATGCCCTTAGTGAGGGAATTCCAGGATTTTAACCCAGCAACACTGAAGAAACGGTGATATATTTCCAGGTCAGGATAGTGAGTGGCTTGGACTCCTGACTCGAGTCTAGTAGATGATGGATGGGCTTTGGGAAGTCAGGACATGAGAGGTATTGGCCTAGTGGTATTATCACTTGTCTGTTAATCTAGAGACCCAGATAGTGTCCTGGGGACCTGGGTTTGAATCCCACCATGGCAGATGGTGGAATTTGAATTCAATAAAATATCTGGAATTAAGAGTCTAATGTTGACCATGAACCCATTGCCGATTGTCATACAAACCCACCTGGTTCACTAATGTCCTTTAGGGAAGGAAACTGACATCCTTACCTGGTCTGGCCTACATGTGACTCCACACCCACAGCAATGTGGTTGACTCTTAACTGCCCTCTGGACAATTAGGGATGGGCAATAAATGCTCCCTGGTCAGCGATGCCCTCATCCTATGAATGAATAAATGAAAAAAAAAGTATTCCTAGCCTCTTACCTGCTCTTGTAGCAGCTGTGTTTATGCGTCTAGTCTGGTTCAGTTTCTGCATAATTGTAAACCCCAGGATGTTGATAGCGGGGGGATTCAGTGATGGTAACACCGTTGAATGTTAAGGGACTGTGGTTAGATTGTCTCTTATTGGTGATGGTCATAGCCTGGCATTTGTGTGGCATGAATGTTACTTGCCACTTGTCAGCCCAAACCTGGATATTGTCCAGACCTTATTGCATTTGAACATAGACTGCTTCAGTATCTGAGGAGTCACGAATGGTGCTAAACTTGTGTAATCATCAGTGAACATCCCCACTTCTGACCTTATGATGGAGGGAAAGTCATTGATGAAGCTTTATAATGAGACTGTAATAGCTGTAACATATCACCTCTGCCTCTGAATGTGTGGGGGTGGAGAGATTGAAAACCGAATTGGTTTTATCCAAAGCCCCTTACCATTGCTTGCTGCAGTAAGCACAATGTGGTCCAGTTTCTCAGTGGTGATGGGATAGACCCATATGTTATTGGGTGGTTTCTCTGTTACCGACTGAGGGACCCAGTCAATCTCTTCATCTTCCGCAGGAATCTCTCCAGTCAGTATGTCAGCCGCAATCCTGTTGCTCAATGATTCTACTGTAACCGTGTTCACAGATCCTCCTTCCTCTTCAGGGAAAGGGTTGTCAGCTACATTGACAACAAAAGAACTAACAGTGAAACCTTCCTTATAATAACCCTTTAACTCAAAATATTCAACACTTTTACAATCCCTTCTCAAATGGTATCTCTCCAGAAATTACATCATTCAGGAAACGCGTTTACAATAAACCTTCCCTTTAATGAGGCCAAATTCTAATGAAATTGCTACTGCCAACAACCTTTTTAATGCTGCCGAACTGTAACCAGTTAATTGTATAGAATGAGTAGCAGGAGGACACCATTCAGCCCCTGAGCCTGTACCTCCATCTGAATCACTGAGCTCCCAATATAATGACAGCTGGTTATCTGATACAGGTGTTGGCTGTGTCTGGGGTTCGGAGCTGAGACAGGCAATGGGACCTCCCTTCCTGTGTCTGACCCATGGAGCCCCATAGATAGAGGGAGATGCTGAACAGCTTTTACCCAAAGAGCCGAGACCCTCAGCTCACCTGTGCCAGGGATTGACTCAAATTCAGGTTTCAAAGAGAACTTTTCAACAACTTCATCAACAAGAGTACTTTTAATCCATTGTCAGGGTGTGGCTGTCCCTGGGGAGGGATTTGTTACCTCAGAGTGGGGGCAGTGAGGTGGGGACTTGAGAAGGCAGTGAGGAGTCAGCCATCAAAATAGAGACATGGGAACTGGAGCAGGCCATTCTGCCCCCAGAGCCAGTTCCACCATTCAATGACACCATGGCTGATGTTAAACATAGGAAACAGGAGTAGAAGTGAGCCTGCTGCACCATTCATTATTATCTTGGTTGATCATCTAACGCAATAGCCTATTCCCGCTTTTCCCCATATTCTTTTATCTCTTTAGCCCCAAGTGCTATATCGATCTTGAAATTTTACAATGTTTTGACCTCAACAGCTTCCACTGGGAGCAAATTCTACAGGCTCACCACACTCTGGGTGAAGATATTTCTTCTTATCTCAGTTCTAAATGGCCTACTCTGTATCTTAGACTGTGACCCCTGGTTCTGGACTCACTGGTCATCAGGAACATCCTTCCTGCATTTACCCTGTTTAGTCCTGTTAGAATTTTGTAGGTTTCTATGAGATCGCCACTCATTCTTCTGAACTCCAGCAAATATAATCCTAACCAATTCAATCTCTCCTCATATATCACTCCTGCCATCCCAGGTATCAGTCTGCTAAACCTTCGCTGCACTCCCTCTATAGCAAGAACATCCTTTCTCAGATAAGGAGACCAAACCTGCACACAATATTCCAGGTGTGGTCTCACCAAGGCCCTGTATAACTGCAGCAGGACATCCCTGCTCCTGTACTCGAAATCTCTCACAATGAAGGCCAACATACCATTTGCCTTCTTCACCACCTGCTGCACCTGCATGCTTAACTTCAGCGACTGGTGCACAAGGACACTCATGTTCCACTGCACATTCCCCTCTCTCAGTTTACAGCCATTCAGATAATAATCTACCTTCCTGTTTTTGCTCCCAAAGTGGTTAACTTCACATTTATCCACATTATACGTAATCTGCTGTGCATGTGGCCACTCACTCAACTTGTCCAAATCACACTGAAGCATCTCTGCATTCTCTTCACAGTCCACCCTCCCACCCAGTTTTGTGTTGTCTGCAAATTTGGAGATATGTCATTTTGTTCCCTTATCGAAATCATGAATACATATTGTGAATAGCGCTGATCCATGTGGTACCCCACTAGTCACTGCCTGTCACTTAGTAAGACATGCATTTATTCCTGCTCTTTGTTGCCCATCTGCTAACCAGTTTTCTATCAAGCTCAATACACTATCCCCAATCCCAAGTGCTTTAATTTGACACATTAATCTCTTCTGTGGGACTTTGCTGAAAGCCTTCTGAAAGGCCAAATAAACTATATCCACTGGCTCCACCTCATCAACTCTGAGACATATCTTCAAACAATTCCAATAGATTTGTCAAGCATGATTACCCTTTCATAGATCCATGCTGACTCTGTCCACTCCTGTCACTGTTTTCAAGTGCTCTGCTATTAAATCTTTTGTAATGGACTCTGGTATTTTCCTCACTACTGAGGTCAGACTCACTGGTCTGTAATTCCAGGTTTCTCTCTTATGAAATACAGAGGTTCCTATTAGCAACCCTCCAATGTGTAAGAACTGTTCCAGATTTTACAGAATCTTGGACGATCACCACCAATGCATCCATCATTTCTAGAGCCACCTCCTTAAGCGTTCTGGGATGTAGATTATCAGGCCCTAGGAATTTATTGGCCTTCAATTTATTGACCCATCAATTTTCCAAACACCAATATCTCTGCTGGAATAGATTTCCCTCTGTTCCTCCCTCTCACTAAACCCTGTGTTCCCCAACATTTCTGGTACATTATCTGCATCCTCCTTTGTGTGCACAGACCAAAGTATATATTTAGTCGGTCAGCCATTTCTTTGTTCCCCATTATAAACTCCCCTGTTTCTGACTGTAAGGGTTATTTGTTTTCACCAATCGTTTTCTCTTCACATACTTGTAGAAACTTTTACAATCAGTGTATATGGCCCCCGCAAGATTACTCTTGTTCTCTATTTTCTCTTTAAGTCAATTCCTTTGTCTCTTTTGCTTAATTCTAAAATGCTTTTTCTCCTCAGGTCTGTTGTTTTTTTCTGGCCATTTGACATGGCTCTTTGTTGGATCTAATACTGTCTCTAATTTCCATGTAAGCCACAGTTAGGCCACCTTTCCTGTTTTACTTTTGCACCAAACAGGAAAGAATAATTGTTGCAGTTCACCTACATGCTCTCTGAATGTTTGCTATTGTCTTTTCACCATCATCTCTTAAAGTAACGCTCTGCAATCTGTCATAGCCAATTCATGCCTCGCACCATCATAGTTTCCTCTGTTTAGATTCAGCACCCCTTAGCTGCCTCATTCTCCATCTCAATGAGGAATTTTATCATATTCTAGTTGCTCAGACCCAAGGGTCCTCACACAGCTAGACTGACAATTATTATTTTCTCATTTCACCTTCCCAAGTCTAGGACGGCATGTACTCTAATTGGTTCCTCAACATAACAGTCCAGAAAACGATCCTATATACACTCTAGGAAATCCTCTTCTACGGTATCGTTACTAATTTGATTTGTCCAATCTACAGACAGATTAAAGTCACCCATAATTACAGATGTTTCATTATTGTATGTGTCTCTAATTTCCTGTTTAATTCCATTCTCAACATCAGTCTAACAGTTTAGGGGTCAATATACAAATCCCATGAATGTTCTTTGCTGGGTGGTATTTCTGAGCCTCCCCTTAAAGATTACACATCATCAGAGGTAATGTCCTTACCTAACTGTCACCTCCATGTCATTTACCCACGCTATCCTCATATCCTTTCATATCTTTAGTACCCTGAAAGAGGGCACAGGATCTACAGGTAAGACAAGGTGTGTGTAAAAGAGGAGATGGTGTTGCAATATTGATCAAGGAGTTAATTATTGCAAATAAAAAGGCATGATATCTTTGAAAGTTCCTCAAATGAGGCCACATGGGTGGAACTTAAAAACAAAAAAGAGGTAATCACTTTGTTGGCAGTGTACTATAAACCCCAAACAATGAGAGAGAAATAGAGAGACAGGTGTCTCAGCAAATCTCAGAAGCATAAAACTAGTAACAGTAGTAATTGTAGAGGGTTTTAACTTCCCCAGTTTAACTGGGATAGACAAAATGTGGAAGGTTTAGAGAGGGTGAAATTTCTAAAACATGTCCAGGAGTGCTTTTTAAGCCAGTAGGTAGAAGGCCCTACCAGACAGGGAGCAGCACTGGACTGAATTTTAAGGAAGTGGTAGATGTGTGAGTAGGGGAGATCTTGGTGATAGTGATCATAACTCAGTGAGATTTTAGGTAATTATGGATAAGGATAAAGATGAAAGTGGGCAAGCGATAACACATTGTGGAGCTGGATGAACACAGCAGGCCAGGCAGCATCAGAGGAACAGGAAAGCTGACGTTTCGGGTCTGGACCCTTCTTCAGAAATGGGGGAGGGGGAAGGGAGCTCAGAAGTAAACAGAGAGGAGGGGTGGGGCTGGGGAAGGTAGGTGGGATGGTGACAGGTGAGTGCAGGTAGGGAGTGAGTGCATTCTTGCACCTGGACTATAGCTCCTCTCACCCACCTTCCTGCAAGGATGTGATCCTCTACTCCCAATTCCTCCGCCTCTGCCGCATCCGCTCCCAAGATGGGGCGTTCCACTCCCGAACATCCCAGGTGTCCTCCTACTTCAAGGACCGCAACTTCCCCCGTTCAGTGATCGAAAATGCTCTCAACCGCATCTCTTGCGTTTCCCGCACCTCTGCCCTCACATCTCCTCCCCACAATATAAACAAAGACAGAATCCCCCTTATGCTCACGTATCACCCCACTAACCACAGGATTCAACGCATCATTCTCCGCCACGTCTGCCACCTGCAATCTGACCCCAAAGATATATTTCCCTCCCCACCCCTATCTGCCTTCCAGAGGGACTGCTCTCTCCATGACTCCCTCATCAGCTCCACACTCTCCACTAACCCCACCATCCCTGGCATCTTTCCCTGCAACCACAGGAAGTGCTACACCTGCCCCTACACCTCCCCCCTCACCTCCATTCAAGGACCCAAAAATACCTTTCATATCAGACAGAGGTTCACCTGCATATCCACCAATGTGGTCTACTGCATCTGCTGCTCCCAATGTGGCCTCCTCTACATTGATGAGACCAAGCAGAGGCTCGGAGACCATTTTGTAGAGCACCTGCGCTCCATTTGCAACAAACAACACCTTTCAGTTGCAAACCATTTCAACTCCCACTCCCTGGGCAATATGTCCATCCTGGGCCTCCTCCAGTGTCACAGTGACGCCACCCACAAACTGGAGGGGCAGCACCTCATATTCCACCTCAGGAGCCTACAGCCCAATGGCCCAAACATGGAATTTACCAGTTTTAAAATCTCCCCACCCCCAGCCTCATCCCATGATCAACCCTCCCTCTC